TGCCTGAGTTCCTGTCTCCTCCAGCCTTATGTTCCTTTCTCTGCTCAGCCATATCACTTTCTGTCTCAACCTTCCTAGTGCTGGGATTAAAGGTATGTGATCCCAAGTGCTGGAATCAAAGGTGTGTGCCACCGCTGCCTGGCTCTGTTTCTCTTTTAGATTGGATTAATCTTGTGAGGCCGTTGTGGCCTTGAACTCACAGAGATCCAGATCAATCTCTGCCTCTGCCTCACAAGTGCTAGTATCAAAGGTGTGTGCCACCACCGCCTGACCCTCTGTGGCTAACTCTGTCCTCTGATCTTCGGGCAAGCTTTATTTCCCAGATTACAAACAACATGTCACCACAGGGGAAGAGATGGTGAAGTAGAAAGAAGGAAGGTAAAGGTGGAGCCAAGAGAGAGAGATCACAGACCAGGAAGGAGGAGACAGAAATGAGGAGGGAATGAACCCTGGCAAGGAGCTGCCCCTCTAACTGTATCTGCCTCTTTTCTTCCAGGTTTGTACAAGAAACCTTCTCTGTCAGCCCTGTTGGGCCCTGTGGTGATGACAGGAGAGAACGTGACCTTGTCCTGCATCTCTGACCATCAGTTTGATGTGTTCCATCTGTCCATAGAAGGGGTGCCTCAGGGGCACGGGCTGCCTGCAATGCAGAGTCACAACAGGACATTCCAGGCCAACTTCCTTCTTGGTCCTGTAATCCAGACAGGGAAGTATAGATGCTATGGCTCTTTCAGTAACTCTTTCCATGTGTGGTCATCCCCAAGTGACCCATGGTACTTTCCTGTCACAGGTAAGAAAGCCTCATATAGAGATCTCATATCTTGTGACTAATGAAATACTAAAACCATGTCTGGGAACCATTCAAATGATGATGGAGAGAAAGTATCATAGGCTGCTACAGAAAAGGGTTGCTGGGAGTCATTTTGTAATATACATACAAATATAACATATATATTAAAACATTGGTCTCAGTAAAATGTGTGTGTGTGTGTGTGTGTTGTGTGTGTGTGTATACATGTAACAATACTAATCAAAGGCAAAGGGGCTATCAACTTAAGGGAGTATGTAGAAATCTTAGCAAAAGATTATGTGGTGAAGGCTGGAGACAAAGGAGGGGGAGAGAGAGATAATTATATTTCATTTAAAAATATTTCATTGGATATCAGATTACAAAATAATCAACAAGGAGCCTCCCAAACAATC